TGTTGTTGCTTCTGAGTTTGATCTACCTTTCTTCTGCTTTGATAAATAACTGGTTGGTTTGTCAATATTCTGGCTAAAAAGGGGAAGTAGTAGTATTTACATGCTTGTTGTTCTTTGTTGCTATACGTGTGAAGTGTTCTGGTTGTTTCCTTGAAGGGAAGTATTACTGATATTGCCTTTAAGGGTAAGCATGTGTGCTTAGGCTTTCTAAGTGTGTCTGTTGTGATTGTATATGATGTTAAACATAATATCTTAACATTATGTTTAGTTGTGCTTTGCTGAATTCATAACCTATGTAATTCAAGGGGAGTTAGTTGCTGCTGTTGTTTGGTGATGTTTGTTGTGCTTGTGCTTTTCCTGTGTTTTTGGTTTTCCTTTAAGAGGAACGTGTGAAATTGGATAGTTCAAGTTTGGTTTTCTTGTGATTTGGGTTTTCCCCTTGAGGGGGAGTATTGTCTATGTGTGGCAGGGGGGTTATGAACCTGTCTGATATGTTATTGCAAAGTTACAGTTTGTACAAAGCTTACATGTTATCATGTAGCTTGTGTTGTTCTGGTTCTTGGTGTATGGTGTTTCTATTTTGATTCCATTGTGTATGCCTCTGATGTGTGCTAAGGTTGTTTTAGCCAAAATTTACCAAAGGGGGAGATTGTAAGTTCTATGGTTTTTGGATTGACAATATTTTGGTAAAATAATATGCTGTCAGCAAGATGTTAAGCCAGATGTTCTGCTATGACAGTCAGACATCATGTTCAGCATGATGTTGTGACATATGCCAGAACATGTTATACTAGAAAGTTAGGGCACGACTGTTTTGGTATTTTTAGTATGAATTTTGAGTGTGTTTTAATTCACACGTTATTGTTATCCAAGGGAGGTTATTTGAGGAACGTCTATTATGACATATTTGATTGTTTTTCATAAAAAGGATTTTGGAGCCTTTTTAGGAAACTTTCTATTTAGTTCCTATTTTGTGCAGAAAATTATGCAAAATATTTGCAGCTCCTATTTTGGATCTATTGCGGTTTTTAAGCCTAAGTCCATGCTTCTCAAAAGCTATTTATAAGAAAGACTTTTAACCTAGAAAGTGTGTGTGCCATATTTTTGTGTGAGAATTTTTCTAGGGTTTTTGTTGTTCTTTGTGTTCCTCTCTTATGTCTTTTAACATCTGAGTAGGATTGTGTTAATTGTCAATTATTTACTCATGAACTTTTAAGCAAGAGTGTATTGTCCTCAGTTTAAAACTTTTAAGTAAAACTAAATATTGTAGTTGGAATAGTGTTCTTCTTCTTTTTGATTTCTTGAAGTATTGTCACTAGGATTGTGATTGATTAGAAAGTGAGAGGGGGGTCTCATATTTAGAGAGTGTCTAGGTAGAAGTTGCATAAGGTTGTGGTAATGTGATAAGTTGTAAACGAGGGAGTTTAACTTTGAACTAATACTGTCATAGTGAATTTCCTTTCTGGCTTGGTAGCCCCAAAATGTAGGTGCTGTTGCACCGAATTGGGTTAACAACTACTGTATGTTATTTAATTTTCTGCAATTTTTCTTTAAATTGTTCTTGTGTTATTAATTCTGCTGTTACGACGCCCTGACATCATATCCGACATCTGTCTACTACGTGGCAGAACTTCAATATCATTATTTGTTCCTTCAATCAAATCTGCAAGACTTGGGATTACATTTATTACACCTTTAACATGATTTATTTCAGTAAAATATTTCTTACTTCTGAAGTTCGTGTGGGTAGTTCAACAATTTGGAATGCAAATGTCTTTGACATATTCCATATCTAACATTCAATTATTAGTAAACACTTCCGACAGAAACGATCATTCTGATAATGTATTAAGCAAACTAAATATTTAAATATTTCTTTTATGATATTTGTGAACTAATAAGATGATATAAGTTACTACTCTATAATATATCAAACTTACAAAATAAAAGAAAAAAGTAAAATGATATCACTTAATTTTTTTTATAAAAATTATATCTTTACATAAATCAAATAAAAATATTTATACTATTAGAATTACAATTATTACATAAATATAATAATTTATATCGTTATTCTAAGTTGACATCATAAATACTACATTACTACTTTAAGTCGACATTATGAAAAATAGTTTACATTATTTTAAGGTGATATTTTAGATAAAAAGACACATGTTTAGAATAATTAGTGTTTTTTATTTTCTTATAATAAAAAGCAATTATAACTCTAATTCAAAAATAGAAAGAAACCTACATAAAAAAGTAAAAGGCCTTTCATTAATTATCATGACCATGCACATTGTTTTATTAATTAACCAAAGGCTAAAAATAAATGAATTAGGACCACCATTGATTTGATGGTCTCCATTGTAGTTGATTGAGTGGTGTTCCAACCAAGCTACCCAAAAGACAAACGCTGGCAAATGTAAACAACTCTTTCATCGTTTCCTTGTTCTAACCGAACATGACAAATTCTACAGAGCAGCATGTCACCGGTTACCTACTCATCCGGTTACAGGGCTACTCCTAAACATCACTATATCCTTCAAATTTATTTTCAATTCTTAGTATTTATATAAAGGGATTTGTTGCAGTGTAATTTAAGGTTCTATAAATGAATAATGTTGACTTTGATGACCACTCTCATTATGAAAAATAAAAATAAACATGGGTAGGAGCCTTTACTATAAAGTTAGAAATAAATAATGTACATGCAAAATTATTAACTAGTTTTATATATATATATATATATATATATATATATATATAAAACAAAATTTAAATTTGGTGTAGTCTATTTTTCTATTAATTTTATCTTTATTTTTATATATAATTTATATAATAATTTTTATTAAAACTATTATTATCATTTTTTATATAACTTTTTTCTATTAACTTTCTATTTAACTTCCTACTATTAACATTTTACATAATTTTTATTTAAAATTATATTAAATAAAAATATATCATTTATATTTTTAAATGTGTATTAAAAAAACGTACAGACAGACACGCGAATGTCGGTCTAAACACTAATTTATATAAATGAATTTGTTGTTGTAAGTTAAGGTTCAATAAATTGTTGACTTTCATGACCACTTTAATTATGAATAATAAAAATAAACATGGGTTGGAGCCTGCTCTATAAAGTTAGAAATAAATACGTGATTATTGCATGAACATGCAAAATTATTAATTAAATTAATTTAATAAAAAAAATAGTGTTTCAATAGTAATATTGTAGGATTTCATCATAGAGGCTAGATGAGTAAGGAAAATGATAGAGCTCATGTGCAGAACAGAAGTGGCAATCACGGATATGGAGTAACAGGAACAAGATGTTCCCAACAACATTATCTCTAACTTTTTAATATATTAAATTTGAATCCTAAGTATTCTTCTTAACTTTATATCATGTTTCTTTTAAAAAATTAATTTTTTTATAACTAATCTGAAAATTATAGATGAATTTAATTAAAATAGACAGATAATATTCAGCTTGGAATATTAAAAAAAAATTTAAATTTTATTTTAACTATTTATATAAATAATATAAATGGATAATAATAATAAATTGGCAGTTATAAATATTATAAAATTATATATATATATATATATATTATTTTTTAAAATTTATTATTTGAATATAAGACGCACTACTTAAATTTCTATTTAAACTAGAGTTTTATTCTATCAAGGCAATTTACATTAGAGTTTTATTTTATATAGACAATTCTAACACAATTTATTGATAAAAAATGAAAAATTATATACATATATTTTTAATTAAAATAGTTATTTTAATTTTAATATACAAAAGATATCTTTTTACTAAAATGATATATATTTTAAAACACTAACAAAAACATTACTACATCATGAAAAATGAAATTTTTACATATCCTAAAGAAACGGCGATTAAACATAAAATTCAACGTAAAGTATTTTTCAATGTAGGTCAAGTCAAATGGTTGAAAAAAATTCATAAAAAGGACCATTTGTCACCAAAAAATTTGTCATAAAAATGACATTTGTTTAAAAACAATGGAGTGTTGATTAACGGTCCATGTATTCCATAAACTTCAATTATTAAAAAAAAACTATAGTTTAAACTTTATTTACATCTTGATTTAAACTCAATATTAATAAATAAATATTAACATAACAAGCCACATATTAAATTTTTTCAAACTAAAAATATCCTTTTTCATAAAAAAATTCCAACTTTAAATTTCTTTACATATGCAAACAAGTTAAATTTATTTTGGTTGATTCTTTAATTTAATGCATTCAGACAATAAAATTAAAAATAAAATAAAAAAAGTAGATGGAATTTTGATTTTTGAATTAACACAAACAAAACAGACACATCCATATGAAACAACAATTTATGTTTGTTTAGGTAACATCCATAATTTACTTACATCCACTAACCCTGTAACATTGCTGACGTGTCACATTCTCATTTGTCAGTTACTTTACAAGACTTCAACTTGACTATATCAGACCCAACGTTGTTTCTCTCTCTACCCTTCTCTCTCTCTCTCTCTCTCTCTCTCTCTCTCTGGCTAGAAGTAGGTGAAAAGCAAAGAACCCTTGTTTCTTTTTTATCTTCTCTCCTCATTTTTATTTTCACATTAACACAACCACTGTTCCTTCTTCATCTCACCTAATCCAACAATCGAGAACAAAAAAATCAAATAGAAAGTGACAGAAAATTCTACCCCAGAAGGGAAGGGGTTATACCCTTATGTGTTTTTCTCTAAAGGGTATTATCAAGTTGGGAATTTTTTGGAAGTGACGGCTGAATCTGATGTCACCATCGAGTACTGAGTTCTGAAAGGTGTTGTTTTTTTGGTTAGATCTCAGTGATTTTGTTCCTGGATCTTTCTGATGAGATGATTCATTAGGGAAGTTGAGGTTTTGGGTTTGATGGTTTTTGGAAGCAGTGGCAATGGCAATGTTGGGTTATCAGTGATTTTGTTTCTGTGTGTTTGGAAATGTCTGCTTCTTTAGCAGCTTTTGAGAGACCTAGGCCTGGGGCTTCAAATACGGTATGTTTTTCTGTTTTGGAGGGAATTTATCCGATTCAACTTTTTTATTTTGATGAGTAGGTTCTGTTTTGAGGTAATTGGCATTAAGTTTGAGAAATGAAGTTATGATTTTTTAATGCTGAATTATGAGTGTTTGATTTGATTAATGTATTGGTTTGTTAAGGAAGTTGAATAGGGTTTGAGGTTTTGATTTCATTGTTGAATGTTGAGGCTGGATGAGGAACTGTGTGTTGAGTTTGTTTAGGATTAGGATTTTAATTGCATAAGAAGCTATGAATTGGATTAGCATATGTTTTGTTTCGTGTATTAGTCTTCTCGTGTTTCAGACTCTCGGGCTGGTTTCATCGAGATTTAATTGAAGCTTGAAAACTAAGCTTTGGTGCAATCAGAAGCGTTTGACTCGGTTAATTTCTAACACACATTATTATTTTGCAGGTTTTTAAAAGTGGCCCACTTTTCATATCTTCGAAAGGTTGGTATCCATATCACGTCCTCGGCATTTCTCTTTTACAAGATTTTAAATCACGGTCTTAGTTGTGGCCGTGTCCCAAGCTTTGTTTATGCACGGTAGAGAATCACGGTCAAATGCAACTAACTTGGCCGAATTTGTGGTCGTGTGGAGGTTTCAAACACATGGGTGTCACACGGCCACAATTACGGTCAATAACCATTTATTACAACCCGATTCTGTTAATGTTATAATTTAGGAATTCATCAATTCTTTCCTATTTTGTAGGAATAGGCTGGAAGTCCTGGAAGAAGAGGTGGTTTATACTCACGCGCACATCATTGGTTTTCTTCAAAAACGACCCTGTTAGTATCACTCAGATCTTTCCCACCATTCTTAAGATATTTTCTTCGGTATTTTTGTCTCTTATGTTGCAACTCTCTAATTAAACGAGAAAAGCCTACGGTGATATTAAGCTTACTCGATATATGAACATTTTATGGAGATACTTGGTGATGATTTGTTTTTGAAAATTAGCATAGAGATAGTGTAGACTTGTACTCAAATACATGTGATTACTTTTGCTATTATCTACTATTGAATTTTCGTTGATTGATTATGTAGAGTGCTCTTCCTCAGAGAGGCGGGGAAGTAAACCTGACTTTGGGCGGTATTGACCTAAACAACTCAGGGAGGTATGTTTGGCGAAGTGTATTTTTTCGCTGTGGTTTTTAAATTTTGACGATCCATTTTAAAATTGTGAATTTTTGTTTTTCAGTGTTGTTGTTAGAGAAGACAAAAAGCTGCTAACAGTATTATTTCCAGATGGGCGTGATGGTCGAGCGTTCACCCTTAAGGTGATTAGAATTCAATTTACACTACTTGAAAATGGCACGTTAATTGTCGAGATGTTTAAATTCCAACTGTTTTCTTAAAGGCGGAGACGTCGGAAGACTTGTTTGAATGGAAGACAGCTCTTGAACAAGCCCTTGCACAAGCACCAAGTGCTGCCCTTGTCATGGGTCACAACGGGATTTTCAGGAATGAGACAACTGATTCTATTGAGGGGTCTTTCAATCAATGTTCGTTCTTATTTTTAGTTGTATCTTTGCTACATGTCAATAATGATGTTTTTTTTTCTTTAACTTTGGTTTGAGTTTCTACGTTTAACAATATATGTATTTCTTATTGTGCTTACAGGGAGAGATAAGCGTCCAGTTAAGTCTTTGGTTGTTGGAAGACCGATTCTGCTAGCACTCGAAGATATTGATGGAGGGCCGTCTTTCCTTGAAAAAGCTCTTCGTTTTCTAGAGAAGTATGGTAAGTTAATGATCTTTTACAAAGTGGTGTTTTTGCATTTCAATTCACTTTTTGCTGTTCATTGAATTTTAGTACTTACTCGTAAAGTTTTGTTTCCTCTGGAAGCAAAAAAAAACTTCTTGACTATTAGACAAGATGGATCTAGAAATAATCAAATGCGGGGTTAGAAATATTTAAGATTAAATCTTAGAATTTGGATAGGGTCTAACTCAACTCGACAAAATCGCTTGTTAGGTGTAGATTGCACCCTCTTATAAACATATGTACAAACCATCTCTCTCCCAATGTGAAACTCTTAGTGCACACCCCTCACGCCTTGGACTGGACATCTGGAACATGATCTGAGTGGTCCGATTGTGGAAGCCTGGTAGTATGTGGCTTAAAAAATCTTGGATAGACTCTGATTATATTAGAATTTGGATAGGGTCTAACTCAACTTGACAACATTGCTTGTTAGGTGTGGATTGCATCCTCTTATAAACATATGTACTAATCATCTCTTTCCCAATGTGAAACTCTTAACACAACCCTCATGCCTTGAACTAGACATCTAGAACGTGATCCGAGTGTGGAAGCCTGATAGTATGTGGCTCAACAAATGTTGGATAGACTTTGATACCATCTTAGAATTTGGGTTGGCCTAACTCAACTCGACAAAATTGGTTTGTTAGATGAGGATTGCCTTCACTTAAGCCAAAGTGGTATCTACGATACCATATGAAGCGGTGGAAACCACATCATATTCACTCAATAGAGAGAGGGAATGTTGGAATGTGAGTGTGAGGGCGAGCATTTCTAGAGTTGTTTCAAGTTTGGAAATTGATAATGCAATTACATGTTCAAATTTGGACTTTTTGGAAATAGCCTTTAATCTCAATGATGCAGATTGAACTTCTGAAACTTCATACAACAACATTAGTGTTTAATCATTGAAGTTCATCGGGAAAAAGATGTAGTTTATATGTTAAAGTGCCTTTCATATTCATACCATGCTGTTGAGACATGCTTCAATGTATGAACACTGTTAAATGAATGAAACACGTTTTTTCAGGAACTAAAGTTGAAGGAATATTGCGGCAGGCTGCAGACGTTGAGGAAGTAGACCGAAGAGTTCAAGAATACGAGCAAGGTACTAACAGTTTTCTTAAATGCCTTAAGCATTATGAAACTTAGAAATGCCTTATTTTTTAACTGATATTACCAGGTAAGGTTGAGTTTGACGCAGAGGAAGATTCCCATGTTGTTGGCGACTGTGTTAAGGTATCATGCTAGTTTTGATAATAGTAAAGCTTATTCTTTACAACTTTTTCCCTGTCAAATGTAAAATCCCTCTTTATTTAATGACTTTCTGCATGGTCGATTTACAGCATGTTCTAAGGGAGCTTCCCTCCTCTCCGGTTCCAGCTTCATGCTGTACTGCATTGTTGGAGGCTTATAGTAAGTTTAGCATATATACTTTTAAGAACAAATTGTTTATGTTAGTGTTGCGTAGTTCTGATGATTGCTATGTTAGTATTGGTTTTTGGTCGATCTTAGGATTTGTAAGTTACTGTTTAAAGGTCCCGCATTCGACGTGATTTTGCTTGAAAATGTTCATAGGACGGCGTCAACTCTCACATCTCAAATTAGTTGTAACTTGTAAGGATGAGTTAGTCCCATTCAAACTTTAAGATGGTATCAAAGTCTATCCAAAGTCTATCCAAAGTCTGTTGAGTCTGTTTTCAGACCATCATGTCACACAAATGCCAATTGTGATTTTGCTAGGTGTGGAGGAGTTTTTCCGTTTCTTTTTAATAAAGTAGCGAGTTCCTAACATGGTTATGCCTATGTTAACAAAAAACTTATTTTGACACAACCTAGATTTTGTTGTAGGAACATAATTCTGCATTTAAAAAAAATATAAATTTGTAGACGGTGTTAAGCTTTTTAGTGCGATGCTTTTCACCTCAACTTTGCTGCATCTTTTATTATTTTTCATGCCCAAACTTTCAGTTGTCGAGTTTTGTTGTACCGTTCTATACTTCTATTACTTTGCACATGAATATATGCTGATGGAAGTTCGTTCATATCACTGTTACTCTTTTTCTTTTGCAAGAAATTGATCGCAAGGAAGCTAGGATTAATGCAATGCGCTGTGCTATATTGGAGACCTTCCCAGAGCCTAATCGACGTTTGTTACAGAGGTCATCTCTCTCTCAAAAGCTCTAAAGTTTTCATCTTTATGCAAACTTTACGTATTTACCTGTTACGATAATATCTATAAGTTTTCACCTTAATCTAATTATTGTAATCTCTACCTTTACAGAATTTTGAAAATGATGCACACAATCGCTTCTCATTCTAACGAGAATAGGATGACTGCTTCTGCCGTTGCTGCTTGCATGGCGCCCTTGCTCTTACGGCCTCTGTTAGCCGGAGAATGTGAGCTGGAGGATGAATTTGACGGCAGTGGTGATAGTTCGGCTCAGCTTCTTGCTGCCGCCAATGCTGCAAATAACGCTCAAGCAATTATTACCACTTTGTTGGAGGAGTACGAGAATGTATTTGACGTACGGAACTTTCTGTTGATTAATTACTCTGGTTTGTGCATGATTTATATTCAATTCTGGAACTTATTTCTATTTGATTGTTCAGGAAGAAAATATACAGAGATGTTCCATTTCAGCTGATTCTCGGGTTGAAAACAGCGGGACCGAAGACTCGACTGATGACGATAATATAGATAATAAAGAAAACGGTTATCATGATGCAGAGAATGAAAATGATCAAGAAACAGATGATGACGCAGATCGTGTTCACAGTGGAAAATTAAGTGAAAGTAGTGGTTATGCTGGCAGCGATCTTTACGATTACAAGGTTGTCCAATGATCTATCCTAATAAAAGATAAAATAAAGTTAAATCGTTTTTCTTAATTTTTTTTGCTCTTGCAGCAGGCATATGGAGGAGATGATTCCGACGTTGGATCCTCGACTAGTAATCACGCGAAGGCTGGAAATTCAAATCGGAATGCTGTTCCTGATATCCATCTGTCCGAGGATAAAAGCAAGCAAAGAAAAGGGAATGAGAATTCAGTTGACGAGAAAGATGTGCCGATTGTGTTGCCTTCGACGGAATCATATCGTTCCATGGGCGAGATTTTATCTTCAATGGACCCTGGTAACCACTTACCTGTGCCTGGTATAGAATCAGGTTCTGGAAAGCAAACTGGTAAAGCTAGTAGTGGTACAAGCTTTAGTTCGAAACGGTCAACCTTCTGGGGAAGAAGCAATGTGGGTGTTGTTTTTCGAACATTTAATTACATCATTATCAATAGTATATCAATATAAAGTAATTTTGGTATCTAATAGTTTTTCTAATTAAAACAGCCGAGGAAGTCACCGTCAGTGGAGTCGGTTGACTCTTCTGGAGAAGAGGAGTAAGATTCTTAGCTTTGATATCATCTTTTATTTAGTAGAATGTGATTCTTGATAGAATTTCGAAGTATTCTCGGATAGCCCTTTGCATTGCATTATTCATTTTTCTCTTCTTTTTTTCCACTTTGCGTTTTTCCCTCAAGGTATAAACATAGTACTTTTGTTGTTTACACTTTACAGGCTTGCTATTCAGAGGCTAGAGATTGCGAAAAATGATTTGCAACATAGAATTGCAAAGGAGGTAATTTTATTTACTAGCCCACTTTACGCCATACATCGCATAATGTTGATGTTTTGTCTGTAATGGAGTTGTTCTTGTTTTCATTTTAGGCTAGAGGCAATGCAATTTTACAAGCAAGCTTAGAGAGAAGGAAACAAGCTTTGCACGAGCGGCGCTTGGCACTTGAACAAGATGTACTTTTTCTACCTATTCCCCGATATTTATTGCGACTGGCACGTATTTGTATCTCACACTTCTTTCTTCATGATAGGTTTCAAGGTTGCAAGAACAGTTGCAAGCCGAGAGGGATCTTAGAGCTGCTTTGGAAGTTGGTTTGAGCATGTCTTCGGGACATATTTCCAATTCACGTGGAATGGATTCCAAGGTTGTTTTTTATTCTCGTGTTTTTTTCCGCTTTCTTTTGATTGCTTTTGTTAATACGCATAATCTTACGAAATCTATTTATGTAAAAGACGAAAGCTGAGCTAGAGGAGATTGCACTTGCCGAAGCTGATGTGGCTAGGTTGAAACAAAAGGTTGCGGAACTTCACCATCAACTTAATCAGCAAAGACAGCATCACTACGGTTCACTTACTGACGTAGGTGGTGATCGATACCAGCACGCACAAAATCTTCCTCAGCCGTGAGTATCAGAGATATGTTATCTTTAAGCACTTAATCGAGAAAAAAAAGTGATTATTTGAAAACCTTGTGAACTAATGTAAGTTTATCTATCTTATGCAGGAGATTTCTTCAGCAAGATTTTGATTCAACCCTTGCTTATTGTAATCATGAAAGGAAACAAAGGACCGAGGTATGTCTTATAGTTTGTTTCTCAAAACAAAAACTAAAATAATTCAGAATATGATCAAATTAGTCCATTTTCTGTGGATGATATATTCCTTACGGTTTTGAGGATTCTTCTCGGTTCGATAACACAGGCAAAATTTGGCTTTATATTTCAACAGGAGAGTGTGTTGGGAAATGATTGGAGAAATATCAAAGGACAAGTATTGGCTTCTGGTAATGGTACTAGGCAGTCATCTCGGAAGCCATTTATAGATTCGAGTCCTAGTGATTCGAAAAGCACCGAGGCATCGACAAGTATGTCCGTAGATGAACTCGGTGTTGTTGATTCCGGCTCAGTGCCTTCTACCTCAAGAGCAGCAGAGGTAAGAATTAAGTTCATGCACTGCACAGCCTTCAAATCTATTACCGTCTTTTTGTCGTAGCTAATGTTATCAAATAGCGGCTATAGCACAACAGAAGTTGAATGGTCATAACCGAGTTTCTTTTATATTATCACGCGCAACAGAATTTGATCGGTCATAACTGAGTTTCTTCTATGTTATCACGCGCAACAGAAGTTGAGCGGTCATAACCATGTTTCTTCTATGTTATCATGCACAACAGAAGTTGAACGGTCATAACCGATTTCTTTATATGTTCTCATGCGCAACAGATGTTGAACGGTCATAACCAAGTACTTTATATGTTATCATGCGCAACAGAAGTTGAACGGGCATAACCAAGTTTCTTCTATGTTATCATGCACAACAGAAGTTGAACGGTCATAACCGATTTCTTTATATGTTCTCATGCGCAACAGATGTTGAACGGTCATAACCGAGTTTCTTCTATCTTACCATGCGCAACAGAAGTTGAACGGCCATAACCAAGTTTCTTCCATGTTAACATCGGTAACTATTAGGAACTAACATAATTTCAATCATTGTTTTCAGGTGACAGAATACGGAAGACATCCGTCTGTAGCATCTTCAACGTTAGTAGAGTTAACGACCCGTCTCGATTTTTTCAAGGAAAGGCGATCGCAGTTGATGGAACAGCTTCACAACCTTGATTTAAACTATGGTTCTACAACTTCCCAAGACATGGTCTACAAGCCAACATCACCATCATGGAGTTGACTGGCCAAATAACAACTTCATAATAATCCTTGGTGAAGAATTTTGTATATCCTTTGACTCATTGCATATATTAGTATCATCCTTATCCTTTGTGGTCTCAATGCACTGCCTCATTCTCTTTGTTCTTATTAAATTTATTTTCCCTCTCTTTTGGTAGTTTAAGGTTGTTGGAATTGAAATGAAAAGATTTTCTTTTGGTCACAAGTTTTTTTTAGGGGGAGGAGGTGGAGTTTGTGGTGTAATTAGATGTTATGTTTATAGATAGATGGGATAATTTTGTTGTTGAACAAAACAACTTCAATGAGCAAATATTAGTAATGTTTTGGTGAATTCTTTGTATGATATTGCTAATTGTTTGAAAGAATTATTATTAGCACTTAACGAGGTTCGAAATAGAGAGAAATGCACTTTTAAATTCTAAGTTTTCACCAATGGAAGTAATTCAGATGACACAACTCTTAACTTTGACATGCCCACTATTTTCAACTTGGTGTCACAAATGGAATATAAATAGATCCTCAAGGTTAATCTCCCAAGGTAAACTATGTCGAGTTATCAACAAATATTTTCCTTTTACATATATATCCATTACCTATTTATGTTAATGTTAACATACTCAAACACATGTTTAAAGTGCAACAATTATATAATTTATTATCAAAATTTGATATTTGAGGTGTATCGCCTCCATTTCTTTATTAGTCAAGTTAACAATCTTCTTTAACTAATGATTTCATATCTTGATAATTAGACTATTATAGGAGATTAAGAGGAGGGGACTAAAGTCCTTAACATTATTCGGGTGAATGATTTAGGATTAGGTCTTGAATTAAATATTGTGTGGTAGTAAATTTTGTGGGGGTTTATTTCTTTAAAATATTTAGAGGCTGATATTGAGGATTAAGTTACTTGGATGAGTTGAGATAAAGGATTTATCTAGGTTTTGTACATAAAGAGAGATGTTAGAATTGTTGAGTAAATGCATCTTGTGCTATAACTAAGGGATCTTCATAGTGAGTTTAGTTAAAGAGAGAGCAAGTAAAGAGTGGAGATTGAATATCCGACCCTTCCGCTAGGAAGGGTATTTATAGAAAGCCTTATGCGTTGGGCTAATGGTCCTCGTCATGGGCTGAATGTCCAGACCCATAACGGGTGACTGTCGGGATTCCCACGTGACAGTGGGGATGAGCAACACATGTTCTTCATCCTGGGTCAACTGCTCTGTGTCCTTCGGATGGTGGATGAACTTGCCCGTTAAAGAGAAAACGACTCTGCGAAGTGTGTGGGTGCAGTTGGTGACGTGTCTTCGAGTGAGGAGCATGTGTTCTCCACTGGCCCCAACGGATTGGGCTAATGTTTTTGAGCCATCCCCGACACTGAGGCGTATCTGGGCCTTGCCCGACAGCGAGCCAACATTTGGGTCGTCTTCGACACAACATTGGATTAGGCCGTGCCCGACAGTGGGCCAACATTAGGGTCGTCTTCGACACAACATTGGATTGGGCCGTGTCCGATAATGGATCAGCCACAACCCCGGTCTAGAATAGGATCCCCCTAAGTCATTGTTCATAGGCAAAGGAGCAATGAATTAGAGTCAAATCATGTGTCAAGGTAGAAAGGGCTCCGCGTGAAGTCAACTTCCATTTGAGCACCCAGTTATGAGCTCGTATCGTCGTAGACGGTGTTCGCTATGGGCGCCTCTTGCTCGCGAGTTTGAATACCCGAGGATGTGGCTACGCACGTAATTTTCTTCAAGTTTCCCCCGAGGACATGCTTGTGAGGGAATCTGGAAGTTGTTGTTTGTGCTCGATGACGTAAACTCGCTTCAAGTTGTTACTTGTGCTCGACGACGTAAACTCGCTTCAAGTTGTTACTCTGAGGCTATGCTCGTGTATGTGTTTGCTTTTGCTTTTGTTTTCCAAGTACTTTTTTTGCCCGTGAATGCACTAGTGCTTTGTTTGCAAATTGTTTTTACTATGTGTATGAGAATCTTGCTTGACAATGTTGGTGCTCGATAGTGTAGAGAACTCGTCGAGTGGTCGCAGTTGGCCTCTGTTTGATAGCGGAGTTAAGATCTAGGTCGAGGTCTCAACTCTGTAGCATGAATCTCCCGCGAGCTGGGTGTTCTGCCTCGCTGGTACGACGACGAGGGAGCTCGATTGAGGTTTCCCCGTCGGGCAAAGGATATACTCGTCAAAAGAGTGGAAACTTGCCTTCGTTCGAGTTTCTTGTTGTTTAAGCTTAGACGTTGTGCTTGTACCCGAGCACGCCTTTGTGGCCGGGACGTAACCATCATCATTGATTGAGGTGTGCTGACTGTTAGGCCTAACTAGTATTGTTTCAATTTTCGGCGTTCCATGGTCGAGCAAGTTCTTTCCCGTGTAGGTTTTCGAGGTAATAAGCCTCATTCTCCCTTTTTTCTCCTCCACGACGAGAAGCCAGGTCGTCATGCCTTGAAACCCTGGCATTCTCCTGGTGCCTTGAGTCTCGAGCATCGTTAGCAGCTTATTTCTCCTCATATTGGATGTAGGCATGGGCCTTGAGGAGGAGGGCATCTAATGATGTGGGCATCTCGATGCCAACCGCTTTGACGAAGTCACTGCGGGGGTGCAGTCCTTGCTCGAGTAGATATTTCTTCATGTCGTCGGTCGTGGAGACCTGGACAGCTTCACAGTTGAACCTCTCGATGTAGGCTCAGAGGAGTTCATCCTTCCCCTGCATGATCGCCTCGAGTGTCACCTCAGACTTTGGATGGCGACGAGAGGCGGTGAAATGCCTCGAGAATTGTCTTCTTAGGTCCTTCCAGGAGGTGATGGACTTTTCAGCGAGGCCTTTGTACCATGTCATGGCACTTTTCCTCAGTATAGTGGGGAACAGTCTGCATTTGGTGGCGCCCTTGATGCTATGGTAATCAAGCAGAGCATCGATGTTCTCGATGTGCTCGTTAAGATCTGTTGTTCTGTCATACGTCCCCAGGTTCGGGGGTTTCTCCAACCCGACAGGGAGTGGAACATCCATGATCCCTCGGGATAGCAGACCGCGGGGGTCTTCTTTGTCGCTCCTGAGTGGTGAGTGTGGTGGTGAGTGGTTGTACTTCTTCTGCCAGGGGCTGTCATCGCGGCGTGGCGGCGAAGTCTTTTGCTATTTTGGGAATGTAATAACTTTACTTTTATGCTGCGGGTGCTTTATTTTTTATGTTTCCTTGTTTTCTATGTATGAATTGCATTTCTATTTGTTTTCTTGCTCGACCTGTTCGGTGACCGACTGTGCGAGGAACCGGTCGGGTGATTGGAGTTGGTATCCGATTGACGATGGGGCCAAGATCTCGGTCGAGGTCTTTTGCCCGGGCGTAAACTTCCCATCGCAAGCTGGGTGTTCGGCCTCAATGGTATGGCAGAGGTGGGGCTCGGTTGAGAGGGTCCCCGCTAGATCAAGGTCTTGCCTGCACACGCAAGGGGCTGACTCTTGTCTTTTTGTTTTTAAAATTACAAGTCGCGTCTGTACCGTGTCGCGCCCCTGTGGTCGCGACGCCAATGGGTCACGGGCAGTGTCTAACTATAATATTGTTTGAGTTTTTCTGCGTTCCATGGTCGAGCAAGTTCTTTCCCGTGTAGGTTTTCGAGGTAATAGTCCCCGTTGCCCCTTTTGTCTCGGACACGGTAGGGGTCTTCCCAGTTTACGGTGAGCTTGCCCTCACGTGAATCCTTCTGGTTCCTTTGTAGGACCATGCTGCCCACCTGGAATTCGCGCTTGATGACTTTGCTATCGTGCCACAAGGTTATCCTTTATTTCAGCGAGGCTTCCCGAAGGGAGGCCCCCGACCTAATTTCCTCGACTAGGTCGAGTTCTCCCCTTAGTGCCTCGTCGTTTGCCTCCTCGGAGATACAAATATATGGTTTCCCCGACCTCGGGCCTGGACGGCTCTCGGTTGAACCTCTCTATGTAGTCTCAGAGAGGTTCGTTCTTCCCTTGGATAATGGCTTCTAGAGCTGCCTCTGTCTTTGGATGGCGTCGGGAGACCGTGAAGTGCCTGGAGAACTGCCTCTTTAGTTCGTCCCAGAAGGTGATGGATTCGGACGCGAGGTGTTTGTACCACGCCATGGTGCCCTTCCTTAGGGTAGTGGGGAACAACCTGCACTTGATGACTCCTCGAACGTTTCGATAATCGAGCATCGCGTTGATGCTTTCGATGTGGTTGTCCGGGTCGGTCGTGCCATCTTATGTTGCCAATGACAGGGGTTTCTCCATCCCGACGGGTAGTGGGGCCTCCCCGATGGCCCTACATAGTGGCAAGCACTGGACGTCTTCGTCACTCTTGACGGGCGACAGTGAGGGAGAGGCTGATCCCTGGTTGTTTCTATTCCGTCGGGGATAACTCTTCGGTCAGGCTCTTGGTTTGGAGGCACCCCCTTGGGCTTTTATCTCCTTCTGAACTGGGGAGCACCGTCCCTTTCGAGGAGGCGACATACTCTGCTTTTGGGAAGCCAATGGTTGTGGTCACTCCAAACGAGGGCGACGCCTAGTCGGTCGAGGAGAGGGGCTATAAGAATCGTCAACTGGCCGTGTCCCCCGCGAGGGAGGAGATGGGTTGTTGGAAACTGGGCGGCGATGTCTCCGTGGGGGAGAGCGTGGTGGTTGTTCCCTCTCGAGCATCCTTATTCGCTCGTTTTTCCCGAAGATCATTAGGTTAGTCTGGTTGGTCTTCGCGAGCAGGGCTACCCTGGTAGGGTCGGTGTCTGCTGGCACTGGGATGGGCTGGTAGACAGCGGCGTTGTCGAAGCGCTGGGCGACGTTGAAGGCCGCGTCTTTCGATGAGGGAGAGGCGGTGCGACTGTCCCTGTAGTCGCCTTATTCGTTGCAGACGGTTGCGTTGGGGTCATGGCGGTCTCCGTTGGTGAAGGGGATGAAGGCGGTTTCAAGAGCATTCTCGTCGCGTGGGCTGACCCTGGTTAGAATAGAAGTTGAAGGTTGTTTTGGTTCTTGAGCTTCTATGCTTGGATAGGAGAAAGAACGGGGAAGCAAAAGGTTTCCAAAAACGGCGTCACTGATCGTACCTGATCAAAAAGGAGTAAGTAGTCTGTCACGCGTCGTGAGTTGCTGCCTTCACCACTATTGTAGAGGAGAAAAAGGGTGTACGTGCAAGATGCTCTGATGCTTACGTGTGTAACAGAACTAGAGAGAGTAAGTACAGAGAAAATATGTAGTGAATAAGATACCTCACCCTCTAGTGAAAGAGGGTATTTATAATGTGCCCCCATCGCAGGGCCAACGTTTAAATTGCAGTGGGCCGGATTGTTAAGCCCAACACAAGTAACTGCCAGAGCTTACGTGACATAGTGAAGACCAGCACATTGTCTTCGCCCTGGATCAACTTCCCCATGATCTTTGGAATGTGGTCTGATCAACTCTTTCGGAAGTGGATAGTTGCTTGATGACGTGTCTCCGCGTGGGAGCACGTGGAGTCCGTGGGAAAAACGCGTGAGCTCTCCTCGTGTCAGATAATGCTCTGTCCGACTAGCGTGCCTTGTTGAGGCTTGTGCTCGATAGAGTGGATTGGGCCTTGTTGGGCCTCATTAGCATAGTATTGGGCTGGATCTGTCCGTCTGAAGGACAGATCCCAGCTCGGTCTAAAAGATTGAATAAATAAAAAAATGATAGAGCCGTTTTTTCATTTGAACAGTTAGAAAAAAGTGATGGAACTGTTTTTGGTTTTACATATTGTTTTGGGAATAATAACAATATTTGAAAGATATTTTAGAAAGAAAAAAAAGTCAATCTAAATTGTCTTATCCTCTTTAAGTAATTATAGATAAATTTTAATTATACGATTTACATTGTTAAATTGGTTTTGAGCATTTCTTTTGGTGTTGATTACTCAAAATTTAGGAGTATATTACTAAAATTTATCATCTTACTTATATTTTTAATAATAATTAGTAGAATATTTTAAATTATTTAATTAAAATATCATTATAGATAATAAAATGTTTCAAATATTGATTAAACGGAATTTTTACATATTTTAATCATCGATGATAAAAATATTAATTTAAACTGATAAAACTAATCATTGACATAAGTATTAAAAGGAACATATAAAAAAAAATACAATAAAAAAACCCGACAGTAGAACTGAAAGAAATATAAATATAAAGTTTAATTGTTAGGTAATAACGGCTAGAAATTGATAAATTTATAGAATTAATTTAAATTTTATTACAGTATTAATTAATAATGTAAAATTATTTTATAGTTACCTATTCTATTTTCTTAAACAATACTATATATAGTTAAACTAATATTTCAATTTTGCATTTAAAGAAAAAAACAGATCAAAATAATAGCCTCCATCTCGTCGTTCACCACCACTACTACCACTTCCGGTCACCGTGTCCGCCGAATCCCGCCGACACCACGCTCCGATTACTGGTAACTAAATCTTAAACTTCTATTATTATCTATCTTTCCGTTTTCAAATCGATTTTACTGTTTAAAGATCTCATCGCTTCAATCATCTTCACTGTCGCTTGTCACCAATCCCGAATTTCTTTCTCTGAAGCGAAATCGAGTATGTTATACTGTTATTTGAAATAGTTTATAGATTAGATCTATGCTTAGTGGTTTATCGTCGAAATATCATTTCTGGTTTTTAGGGTTTGGAATTTTATTCTGTAAGTTTTATTGAAGTATGTTGCGTGTCGGCGTTTGGTTAGGGGAGTTAATGGCTTTCAGTGTTTGAACCATGGATGATTAGTTTTCTTTGTTGGGTTACCCATCTCTGTAGCAACAACGCCACTGACAAAATGTGTCGTCATCCACGGCATCGATGTGATGTATTTGTGTCGATGTCGTGTTTCTGGTGTCCGTGCTTCATAGTACATGTTATAGAAATTTCTACTGTCTTTCAAGACTGTGAATCTCCGTCAGAGAAACTGTTGGACACAGAAGTTGTGCTCTCTCCTTCCAACCAAATTTTCTTCATGCGAGAGATAGAGAGATAGAGATTGAAACCACTTGTCTAAGGGGTCCCAAATTCTTCATGATTTGAACAAGTTTATTGTTGGTGGGTAATTAGCTGTTATATTATATCATAGGAATGCTATCCTTAATATAGTTAGCCCTGAATTTTCTAAATAATACTCCTTAGATGTCCCAACCAACCTATACCATTGACCTACTCCTCTGGAATTTGGAGATTGTTATCCTAATATGTATGCAGAGATTTTACTTCACGTTTGTATTTGGTCTTTAGGTTTAAATTGGTGCCTACTGGTACAGTTTTTCTAAAGAAAACACTGGTTGTTATTTATCACTTTTTAATAGTTAATGCTAAACGGGTCTCCAGAATGTGGAAAAGTATAGTGTTAGAAGATTACGTTGATTTTAAATTCTAGAGAAGAGCATAATGGTGTAATTTATTCAGGCTGGTTGATTGATGTGGATTAATTTTTATTGACTTAGAGAAGGCGTATGATAGATTGTCTAGAGAGATTCTGTAGAAAGTCTTGGAGAAAAAATGGATTAGGATTGTATATATTTGAGCTATCCAAGATATGTATGAAGGAGTATTGACTAGTGTGTAGACACAAGGTGGAGAGACAAACGATTTTCCCATTACAATAGGTTTGCGCGAAGGTTCAACCCTAAACCTCTACGTTTTTACTATAATTTTGGATGTACTCACAAAACACATTCAATAGATAGCACCGTGATGCATGCTTTTTGCAGATGATATAGTCCTATTGGGAGAGTCGAAAGAGGATTTAAACGAGAGGTTGGAGACTTGGAGGCGAGCTTTAGAAACGCATGGTTTTTGCCTAAGCAGAAGTAAGACAGAATATTTGGAATGTAAGTTTAGCAAAAGAAGAAGCGTTTCTAATCTAGAGGTGAAAGTTGGAGACCATATCATCTCACAAATCACGCAGTTTAAATATCTTGGGTCTGTAATACAGAACGATGGAGAAATAGACGAGGATGTAACCATCGAATTCAAGCTGGATGGTTGAAATGGAGGAGGGTTTCAGGGGTTTTATGTGATAAAAAGGTACCACTCAAGTTGAAGGGAAAGTTTTATCGGGTTGCGGTAAGTTCTTCGATGTTGTATGGGACGGAATGTTAGGCGCTTAAGAGTCAACACATGAATAAAATAAGCGTAGCAGAGATGAGAATGTTGCGTTGGATGTGTGGTAAGACTAGACATGATAAGATTAGAAATGACAATATTAGAGAGAATGTTGGGGTAACACCTACAAATATAATAGAAAAATGGTGGAGAATAGACTTCGGTAGTTTGGACATGTAGAGAGAAGACCTTTAGATTCTGCGGTAATGAGAGTAAATTAGATGGAGAGGGGTCAAATAGTTAGAGGCAGAGGAAGACTTAGGAAAACTATAAGAGATGTTATTAAGAAAGATCTTGAACTTAACAATTTAGATTAAAGTATGGCCCTGGATAGAACATTATGGCGGGACTTGATCCATGTAGCCGATCTCACTTAGTGGGATAAGACTTCGTTGTTGTTGAAGTTTTTGGTTAGGACTTAGGAAGGAGGTTATAATTTGTATGCATGGTTTCTACTTCATGGATCATTTTAATTGTTCTCCTATTTTATGGGTGCATTTGGATTGTATTTTATCGGGTTTCTTTTTCTTTTAACTTTTGTAATTTTTATTGTTGCCTCCACTTTCTCGCAAGCAAGCATATTTACACGATTTAGATGTATTACATGGTTTGAATATTATCTTGTATTTTATGGGTTGATAAATTGAAGTTTGTGCTGGAAATTCTACCTTCATTGCATCCAACAACTTCATTCTGTTGGGTGTGAAGGGATGAATTTAGTCCCATATTGCTTAGAAATATGACATGTCTAATGTAGTCTTTATAAAATTTGGGCAACCCTCACCTTATAAGCCGATTTTGTAAGGTTGAAATAGGCTCAACCCAAACTCAAAATTTGAGATTTCATATTCTTTGCACAGTAGGAGGTGAATATCTTTTTTGTACCAATCCATGGATATTTATTTCTTGGAATTTATCATCAGGTGGTGACATTGCCGTATGATACTTGAATTAAGTTTCCATTGAGATGATGATCCTGATTCATGTATTCACTGAGTTTGGTTTTTATATTACACAGAAGCCAAGGTGCTTGGACATCTAAATTGGTGGTAAAATGCTTTCCTTTGAGATGAATGATCGAAAAAGTAAGTGGAATATGTTAGATTTGTTCTTTTATATATTTTCTACTTTTTTTTTTGCTTATATGTAATAACTATATAAGAATGATATTGTTGAGTTAGCTATAGTAGTTCTATAAATTAGTTACCATATTCATTTTTCAGCTAATTGGTGGGAGAGGTACATTGTTTTGATTTATTTTTAGGCTATGCTTTAAATAAAAAAAGGATTTTGTCTTTTCCGTACCTTGGGTATTTCTTAATGGTCAAATAGGAGCTTAAACTAGAAAGTTTGTGGAAGAAATGTGTAGGATCTTTTTTTTTTTTTTTGTATAAATGTTCTCATTATTAACAGAAATTGGTGCTTCATTTTGGAGAATGTTTCTATTTAGTAGTGACTATTGACCCCTAATTTCTATTAGCGTTATATAAATTGGTCCTTCATTATGCAACCTTGTGTGCCTTGAGTGTATTGCCAAAAAATTTAGGGGACGTGTGAAAAAAAGGATAGGACGGGAAAGATTGGACTGACTGAGTAATCTATTATAGGCACGGCCTTAGCTTGTATTTGCAAAAAGCTGATTCCACATCATAAACTCGTTAGCTCTGGGTCATATGGTGTCTACTCCAAACATTGTGCCAAGAGTCTTAACACTGATACGCCAAAATGGGTTCCAAATTGTATCCGATAAGCAATGATGTGCCCATATGCTATGATACACCAACGATGTGTATCAAAGGAGTATCCGATTTATCATTTAAAAAAAAATTAAAATTCTGATATATCGCCGACACTCCTCACATATGCCACAGATACAGCCAGTTCATTTCATGACTATTCAGTTTTCCAGGACATGAATCAAACTTTCTCCCTCCTTAATTGCTCCTTTCTTATCCATTCAATTTCGGTTACCAATTGTCAGTTTTCAAGATTCCCCCACCCCATGATTCCATTACCAATTGCCCATACAATTTTACATAACCAATTGCAGATTTAATGACTCTTATATCGTATCATAAGTTTTTTGATGAATGATGTTTCACTGTATCGGATACGTATTGTATCCGATACTCCTATCGTGTCTGTACTTCATAGTGCCAAGGCATAGGGGCATTATCTGTCTCAATTCAAATAGAAGTATTAGGAAATAGAAAAATTTTAAACAAGAAGCTAAATTAAAGGCATATCAGAACGTCTGTGCTTCATAGTGCCAAGGTATAGGGGCATTTTCTGTCTCAATTCAAATAGAAGTATTAGGAAATAGAAATTTTTTAAACAAGAAGCTAAACTAAAGGCATATCAGAACATCATCTGGTTCTTGTAACCGACCACACTTATTGAGGCTTTTAGTTATTGTAGTTGATTTAAAATTAATGCCATCACCTAATGAAACCAATTGAAATCTATCAATAATCTAATTTCTTATTGTGTTGTACTCAATCATATCACAATGCATCATCATGTTGATTTTGTTTAGGTTCTTGGAGTATACGTTATTAGATTGTCTTGATTACTACATGCAATTTTCAAAACATATTTTACTTCCTTTATGTTATGGTCTCACGGCAGAAGCATTGTTTTGGCTGTATCATGTATTAAGTTATTTTTGTACATTATACATTTGGCATCTACTACCATTCTATTTTGTCAACATTTACATTTGTTTAATCGTATTATTTTTAATATGTGATTGACATGCAATACAGAGATTGGATTAGGATTAACTGGCTTTGGTATATTTTTCTCTTTCCTTGGGGTTATCTTCTTCTTCGATAAGGGATTGCTAGCTATGGGAAATGTAAGTTTCATAATTTCATTCTATGACAAGTTTCTTCCTTAAGTAGATGCTTCAAATTTTATTTTGCTTAGTATTTACTAACACCTATTTTAATGCCGTGGTATCTTCTCATTACTCAAATAAGATCTTGTTTGTTTCCGGAGTGTCCTTAACCATTGGGCTGAAGTCCACTATGCAATTCTTCATGAAACGAAGTAATTTTAAGGTAATTTTGCTATCATATTTCTCTCTCTTTCACTCTCTGTCTTGTGCTCTCTTCATGGTATATAGTCCCACTTACCTTTTACTTTTCTTCAAGGGAACAATCTCATTTGGTATTGGGTTCTTGATTCTTATGGTGGGATGGCCTATTTTGGGCATGATTATTGAAGCTTACGGATTCATCGTACTATTCAGGTTTATTGGAATTTTAAAGAAACTCTAATGTGTTATTTATTTGTTAGTATGCTTTAAGCTAATGATGAACGATTTTGTACAGTGGTTTCTGGCCTACACTGTCTGTTTTTATACAGAAGGTTCCTGTTCTTGGTTGGTTGGTTCAACTGCCATTCATCCGATCGGTATGTATTTCTGATAAATTGAAATGTTTTCACTTTCCATCCAAGTCTTCACCGAAGTATCTTAAACATTTACTTTTATGATACTACCATATCAATAATCAATGTTCAATGAAGTTATGAAGAATGCATATAACTTGAAATTCTTAAACTGAGCTTGCTAAATTTCTGTCTAATTGCAGTTATTTGACCGGAATAGGGGTAAAAGAATGCCTGTGTAGTGTGTAACTTGGAAATCATTGCAAATATGTAACAACTAGCAAGCACATTTGTAAGCCAATGTAAAGAAAATACTCTCGTATGGGGATCTAACAATGTGAACTGAGATCAACTTCTGATGGTGGAAAATGATTCGATTTATCATGATAATCATTTAGGGCAAAGGAGAATTACAGAGGGAAAAGGTTTTTCACAGTTTTAACTTTGCTATTTGTTTAGCTAATGCTTAGTGGAAAATCAATTGATCTCGGAGTTGTTACGCATTTGGCAAGCATAGGTGCCATTCGTTCAAATATGCTTGGTTATCAAATGTTATGAAAGACCGCAATTTGTTCTATAATACAACTTATAGGGTAGTTGCATGGATATTTTATAGGTTGAGGTATGAGACTATGAGTTCAAACTTGCAATATCTCATTTTCGATAATTTAATGGGTATGAGTTTCCCGCCTAGGTTCTCTTAAGCCAAAAAAGACCATGCCCGACTTTCTCTAATTGCCTTCTCCCTATCTTCTTAGTACATATGATTAATTTACAAATGGTTGAACTAAATTCAATTGAATATTGGATTAATCACAAAAGTAATGTGTGTTGAATTTCAAAATGATCTAATTCTTCAAATGAGCTCTATGTTCAATCTCGGACTTGAATTAGATCATTTGAACTATAAGTTGATAGGTTTGCAGTTCAAAATTTTAACATTTGTAAACAACAAATAAGTGATTCTACATTTCTACTTATATAAATGCAGAAAAATTAAGTTTATTAGTAAATGTTATGTTATTATAAAATTTGAATATCAGATTTTATATACAAAGTCTTGAAGATTGAGAATTTTGAGAGGGCAGATGTTTCCATCATTTTGGGCAAGTTACATTCAAAAATTGAACTCTCTTATTGTAAAATTAATCTACATATTTATAGTAAATTATCAATGTTTCATGTTTCCATAATTTTGGGTAAGTTACGTTTAAAAATTCAACTCTCTAATTGTAAAATTAATCTACATATTTATAGTAAGTTATCAAAGTTTCATGTTTGACACATGTTTATATCTAAATATAATTAATTTAATTGCTTCATAAGTTTTCTAAAAAAAAGCTTGAGATTTTTTTATCCAAATAACTTATATTTTTGATTTATTCTCAAAGTGATTCAGGTTAAATTCTCAATCTGCTCCACTTTAAAACAATTTTTTAGAGTTAGTGGTGGCGCCAAATAAATTGACGTTGACGATTTCACCTACTTTTTCAATTGTGGCATTAATTAGATTGATGTTTGCATTTTGTTTTTGTCCGTCTATTTAATGTTAATGTACAAATTTTCAATAGTGATGTCAATTCATCTAAAAAAAGGTTTAATTGTAATTTTGATCTCTTTATTTTCATTTTTTTTTTAGTTTTGATCCTCTATTTTAAAATTTGGAATTTTTGTCTCTTTGTTTTCAGTTTTTCTGAGTTTTGATTTTCCTATTTTAATTTTGAAATTTTTGTCCCTCTACTTTCATTTTTTGTGAGTTTTGGTCCCCTTATTTTTATTTTTTAAAATTTTTGATCCCCTATTAAATTTGTTCCCAATTGAAAAAGGGGATTAAAATTCAAAACAAAACTTAAAATAGGGGATCAAAACTATAAAAAAAAAAATGAAATAGAGGGATCAAAATTTTGGATTTTAAAATAGAGGGATCAAAACTTAAAAAAATTAAAATAGAGGGACGGAAATTGCAATTAAGCCAAAAAAATATTATATAAAGAAATGAAATAATATTTAATTAAAATTATGTTTATATACGAAGAAAAAAAATTAGTCCTGATGAGGACTTTTAGACTTTGATCAATCTTTGCACCAATGTAGGTTAATTAAAGGATCTTTGGCTTACATCTTTTTGTCTCTGTTTGATTGGGGTTTTGGAGAAGAGAGAATATTTTAAAGTAAGTGTGTTTGGTTCAATTTTTTATGAGGGGAGATAACGGGATTAGAGGTAATCAAAATTCCTCCTGAATCATTTTTTCCCTTCGAATTAGGGGTTTTCGGATGGGAGGGGAGGGAGAAAAGTTATGATAAAATCTATTTTTATTATATTGACAAAATTACTCTCACTTTTTTAACAAAATTTTAAATTATCTTTATTAATATTATACCTTAATTTTTGTCATCTTATTAGAATTACTCTATATTTTTTAACGGCAATTTTATTTTATTTTCATTATGATTCAACTTTTTTTCATGTGTTTTATTCTATTCATTTTTATTTAATATTTTGTTTGTAATAACTTAATTGTTTTATACGTTTTTGTATTGTATTACATATCAATATATAATTGTAGTATGAGTTATATAGTATGCAGAATTTACTTTTTTAAATATTTTATCATCAAGATGAGAAAATTGTTCATATGATCATTGCTTATATAATATGGTTTTATGACGTTTATCAATATTTTAGTTTTATTTTAATATATTTTAGAGTATTTTAAATATTAAATCATTTGTGTTTGATTATTGACAAATTTCTAATTTTTGGTGAATATCATTTTTTTATAAATTTATTTAGCATGAGTGTTATAATATTTTAAGGGTAAAAAGATAAATTAGTTTAAAAACCCCTCCCCATGTGAATCAAACATATATTTAATTAAAACTTTCTTCTCCCCCTCTTTTGAATCAAACATACGTTTAATTAAAATACATCCCCTCCCCTCCCCTCCCTTTTCCCTTTATTAAAATTGATTCCTCTCCTCTCCTCCGTTGAACCAAACAGATCCTAAAACTAAGGGATCTTTCTCAAATCTCATATGCTCGTTATCATAGATGTAGGCGAGCCTCTGGCTATCTGAAACTATATATTAGCCAATTCCATCTATTTCATTGAACTTAACTACAATGGCTTTGACAACCATCTTTTGGGACTTGACCTTTAAGGTCACTTTTATTCTATTTTCAGCCATATAGGCCAAAATTCGAGCAAATGCACTCGAATTAGTCATTGTTATTATCTGACTCCGATCATTCTTTGTGTCCTCTGATGGTCTCGTATTCCCACATGAATCCATGTGTAGGGTGTAACTATTATATAATATACATCTCTATGTAGGGAAAACTCTGTTTCAATAGGGGTACATGGTGAAATGTTCACCAATTGCATATCAAAGTTTATTTATCTATATGGTTTAATTCACTTAAGAAGTAAATATGATTTGCTTCGATATTTTTGACAATGTCATTAGATCTCCATATATAAGTTATTTGGTGCGTGGTGGAAGAGACAACTCCCACATCGTGTAGTCATTCTCGTCCTAACAACAAATTGTAATTTGCTTTGGACATAGCGACCACAAATAAGGTTGATATTGTTATTGTTCGTGTTGCAACATTAATCGGGATAACCCCAAAATATTTGCTTGTTTTGCCCTCATAGTTGGACAAAACCATGTTATGAGGTCTTATATTTGTATCAAATTTTCCTCCGTCCACCAACACCTTACTAATACCTACTTTGTCAATCTTGGCCCGTAAAGAGAGACTTCAAATGATGTATCATCCCTTCATTAGGCCTTTCAAAATATGCATTGTTCTTCCATGCAACCTTCGTTAATAATGTAGTAACACAAAGGCTTATGATTGGATATGTCTTCAACGAGACAATCGTCTTCCTCTTCTGTCACTTCAGTGACAATGTCATACTTTATAGATAGCACAATCACTATATTACATATTTTATCTAACTAACATTCTAACCCATAGTTGAAGGTATTTGTGATCATGTCATCATCCTTATTTGGGACATAGTTTATGGTACTTGATTTAGACCTTTTATGCAAAGGAGGAAAAAACCTTTCTTTTATTGGCATCTTCACCTAGTTTCCTGCCTTCTTTGGCAATTTATCATTTCTTAATTCTCCAACTCCGCCGGTTGTTTTCTTTTTCCTCGGATGTCTTGTCCAACGAGTCACAGTCATTGGATTCTTACCCATATAGTTATTAGAACTATAAGCTTATTTGTTAGAGATTTGGGAGTTATTTTGGTATAAAGACCCAACGCCTACCTCGATCACTTTCCATTTTTGTTAGATGGCATCTGGCTTTCTCACTGGTTGAATCCAATTTCGTACAGGGACATCAATTAGCGAAACATAATTCTTCTTTTGACTCTTCCAACTGCTTGAAGGTCCTTGTTTAACTTGATAAGGAATCCTCCTTTTGTTGAAGGCATCTTAAGGCTTTTTTTCATCCCTAAAACCTTTCTTCGATGGACGATGCTTGATACTTTTTATGTCCTTCATATCCTCTTTTTTTAAGACAGTGCTGCACTTGGAGCACAACATCACCTCAGACCTTTTGCTCTTGCAGCGGTTTAAGAAATCAATCATCCTTTCTTTAGCATTAGGGTAAACCTCATTGACTTTTTATTAGCATAGTCCATTATGTCTATAGCTTCAACTTTAGGACTAAAGTCTTCAAAAATTTCAACCATTAGAACCTATACAGGTTCGACAAAGTTTTCATCTTCAACTTGTAAAGGATCAGAGTTAATCTTTATTGACACTTTAGTTTTTTCTTCAAATTTTAACATACCATCCTTCAGAGCGTTTTGCACAAGATCCCTGAAAAGAACACATTGAGAGGTTTTATGACCAAGAAAACTATGGTATTTACAAAAACTTTTTTCTTTCTTTTTTCTAATTGTGGAGTCTTTAGCCTTTTTGGCACTATGATTTGGCCATCTGTGATTAAAAAGTAGAAAATCTCGTCACGTTTGGTAACATCAAATGTATATGTTTTTGTAACCAACTTATGATTTTTACCAGGTTCGGCAGGATTTTCCCTGTTTGAAGGTCTTAAAACCTTACAAACATATGAAGGTCTTAACTTTAGTTATGCCAAATTAACCTTGTTTTCTTCGACATACTCATAACCTATGTCGGGTTCTTGATCATTTTCATCTACTTCTACATAAGATACTATTTCTTTTTTGTGATAATTATTTAACCTAGCCTTTTTC